TTTTTTTTTTTTTCCAATTAAACTTAAACTGAATTGTATTTTTCAATTCTTCTGACTAGTCATACCTGCAGCTGTTGCCCATCTCGATGAGTTTGAGCACGTCCTCGGTGCATTTGACGTCTTGCTCCTGCAGCCCGACCACCTGAACCTGCTGCTTCCCGTCTTCAAGCACACGCAGCTTCGCCTTCCTGTTCAGAAGGTCAAACACCTGCAACGGACCACTCAAATCTGAATTAATGCACTTTGAAACAAATTAATAATTCATGTGAACTATGAAACTCTCCTCCCGCTGTAGATATCAAAGAACGTACTCCTGAAGATCTAACTAACTTAAGTTGAAGTACTACAATTTACTGAAAAAAATTAACTGAATAAAATTAATTAAATAAAAACGGAAATAAATTAAAGCTAAATAGAAATATAAAAACTCAAACTAAAAAAGACAAAAGCAACACATTTTCTAAAATTAAAATGAAGAGTGAAAATAAAAGGTCATTCATAAAATTAATAAATACTATAATGGTATATAAATAATACTAAAATAACACTGCTTTTTATAATAATAATAATACTATTTTCACATTTTAAAACAAATTAAAACAATGAACTACTAATTATTAATGTGAACTACAGAACTTGCCTTTAATGTAGATTTCAAAGAACATGATAACTAACAACTGAAATAATAATAAGTAATAAAATAAATATATATTTTTTAATAAAAATATAATTTAATTTATATAAAATATACATTTTAAAAAAATTATTTATAAAAAAATAAAAGTACTAGAATTACTGAAATAAAATTGAACAGAATACACAAACTGAATAAAAGCTGAAATACAAATCAAGTTACATAGAAATATAAACTATATAACTAATACTTTTTAATACAAATATAAAATAGTTAACTAATAAAAATGTCAAATCACAAAACACCGCAAATAAAAAAATAAAAGCGTATTCAAAATATCATGAAATACTATAATATAAATTAGGGGTTCGAAAAAAATCGAACCGTACGCTTCTCCACACACGGTTCGGCACGCGCTAGGACCACGGTTCAACTTAAATCTGACAACGCATCTGTAATATGGTTTGCTATAAATAACACGTAAAACAATCAGGGTTCGGCTAATATATGTTTCTGTTGATGGATGCGCATTCTGGCTTCCCAATACATTACAACAACAGCGATGAAAAAAAAAACGTGGACAAACCATTCACTCTTGTTCAATGCGAATGCCGTATGATGGAATATGAGCAGTCCCATCCATCATCACCCGGGTGCTGATAGAGCGCGCGCGCACAGGTGAGACCTGAACAGCACACGTTGATATCTATGTTTAAACTAAACTCATTGAAGCTTTGCCAGTTTAAACATTTAAGAGCCAGAGGACGCGAGCTCGCGCGCGCGCAGTGAGAAGATTTGTGCATGTGCTCATCCAAAGCGCGCAAACCCGTGCCTCAGAACGTGCGCATATATTAAGCTCTCTCTGAAGTATTGTGTTTAAATGGACAAATTCACACAAAAATTATGTCAAAATGCCCGTCTTGGTAAGTATCCTATAGCAGACATAGCCGGCTGAACGTACTGTATCAGTGCACTGGATCAGTGCATCATTTTTATATTTGTTACTTCGCATAGTGTGAGACTCCACAAACTGTATTTATATATATTTTTATATATTAATATTTATAATATATATTACAGCGTGAGACTGAACAGGTTATTTTTCTCTCTCTCTTTCTTCTCTGTCAAACAACAAACATCTGACCTGTACACCATTTCGTTTGTGGAGGTGTCGTCGAAAGCGTAATCGAAGCGGAACGTCTGGTTCTCCAGGTATCTGGTTAAATCCACTTTCTGCTTGGGCTCGTGGACCATGACCACGTCTTTACTGGGGATGGTGATGACGTCCAGATCCTTCATGGTCAGCTCTGAGTCAACACACATGATGAGCTGCATCACAAACAACACCAACACACTGACAACACAGAATCACAAGATTTCATCCTTACCTTTCTTGTTCAGTGGGCGCGTCCGAACACACACGCATATCCTGTGGTCCTCAATCTGAGAACATATACATATTATTAAGACATATCTATTATAATAACATGCAACACAGCTAATGCATCACACGGAAGTGAAATAACTGTGGGAGCACATGCTGGTGCTGATGCAGTTCTTCACCAGATCTGCAGTGGTCAGCGGTCTGTAGTCCAAACTCGCTCTGAAGTCTCGGATCATGCACATGATTTCATAATTAGGGGTTATGGCATCGACCTCCTGTGTAATAAAAAAAACCTCAGTTAATATTGTAAGCAGGGTTCGAAATTAACACCCGCCAAATGCAGATAAAAATTAGCTGTGGTGGGTAACGCTGTCACATCACTAGCCAATTTGGCGGGTTACTTATCGTAAATTATTTTCAACCAATTTTTTGGGCAAGTCAGAATTGCGCAGATTTACTGCAAATACTGAACTTGTGAGTCATCATGATATATTAACTACAGCCTAATTGCAGCATCTGCGCATATCTAGCTTACTTGAGCATACCCAATAAATAACGGCGCGGCGGGTGCGCTGGTTTCCTTTGCATTGAAGCAACAACAAAGAGCCAAAATAGAATAGACAATACAATAATAGAACAAAAATACAATAGAACCCATTATGATCAGTGATGCTGTCTACACTGCATGTGGCGCGACACAACAAATCCCCGACAGTAAACTGATGCCTCGTTCTAGAAGTTCAAGTGATTTGCAATGCTTTGTCACATCAAGTGTGGCAGCTATAAACTGTTGGTTTATTTCAGTAATTTTTTGGGTGGGGGGGCTAGTAGAAGTTATAAATGGCTGGTAACTTAAATTTAGTAGCCAAATTGGCTGGTGAGTGAAAAAGTTAAATTCAAACCCTGATTGAAAGAGTTTATAACATAATAACATCACCTTCTGGAGATGTCAAGTCCCCGTGTTAAGTCAAGACATTTTTATTCACTCATTTTAATTAGATATGCTAATAAATTTAATTACTAAGATGATTAACTGAATGCCATCCACTGAGTTAAATAAGCAACATAGTAAGGTCATGTGACCGATGTTTTCATTTTACTTTTAATTTTTTCAAGTTTTAGTATTTTTTGTGTTTTTGTCATTTTTATTATTATTTTTAAAATGTCTATAGTTTTTATTCATCTTAATTTCAGTTTTAGGTATTTTAGTACACCATGTTAAACTAAACGAAAACAAGAAGTGTTAAACAGTCATTTCAATTCATTATTCACTAGCTGAAATAAAATGTTTTAATTTCAGTATAAGTGTATTTTATTTAAAGAAACAAAACTGTTTTTTTATGGTTTTAGTTAACTATGATAACCCTGGCAGATGCTTTAATTGAAAGTGTCTTAGAAATGAGAAACATAACATGCTATCTGTCACCAAGCCAATAATATTCATAGTATATACTAAATAAATAAACAAACAGATAAATTTTTATAATTATAATGTGCAATAAGCAACATAAATTAATAAATAACATTACAATTGCAATGCACATTAGGCAATAAAACACAAACACACACACACATACATATATATATATATATATAAATATTAGGGCTGTAAATCGGATGGTTCGTCACGATACGCTACGATATCGATTCTCATACCCAGCGATACGATATTTGCCGATACTTCAAAAAATTATACGATACGATTCGATACAGGAGAATATCGATCGATATATCGATATTATTATATTATATACCTATTTTAAACAACCATCTACATTTTTATTAACTCACAAATGCAACCAAAACATATAACATAAGCATTTATCTTAAATTTTTATATCCTATTCCTCAATTGGGACATTCACAACAAAAAAATATGCCTACACTTTTTTTTTAAAATAAAGAAAAAGAAAAAATTGAATTTTTTTTTTTTTAATTCAAGTCACACACAAGATCAGTAATCTTAAAATATGACAACAGTCAAGACAGTCTTTCAGGTTTTAGTACTAAAATATGCAATGTGTAAAATAATGTAAATCCTCATTAGGAAACAACACAAACGAGGTACTCCAGTTGTAGAAAATTTTTTTTTAAAAATTAAATAAAGCGGTTAAAACTTTGAGACTTTTTTTGCCTGCTACTATGGGCTCAGTGCTAAAAACCTTTTCTTCAGATAACCAAATTACAAGCAATAGCAGAAAATTAATGCAATATAACAAAGACACAAATTAAAGGTGACATATCATGAAAATCTGACTTTTCCAGGTTTTAAGTGCTATAATCAGGTCCCCGGTGCATCTACCAACCAAGGAAACGTGAAAAAGATTAACCCAATCATTTTGTTTAGGTAAGCCTTTTTCTGCAAGCGTCTTGAGAAAACGAGCACGTCTGATTTCGCTCCCTTGGTGACGTGGCAAAGGGGTCTCATTATAATATTACCGCCCCTTAATCTGTAAACTTCCACTCAAGGCACCGTCATTTGATTTCGCAAGCGACAACGTTGTACCAGCTCTAATGCCATGGCGAAAGTTTGAGCAAAACATGCTAACTGTTCTGTCTTTGGCTGCACAGACGAGCACAGAACACTATTTACAGTCCCAGCCTCAGAGGAGACAAGAGAGCAGTGGATTTATTGATTTATTTAGGCTACTGTATATTGCTGCTGCCACACAGATCTAAAATAAACAAGCGATTTATTTCCCAGCTGTTTACCTTCACAAACATAACCAACTGTTTTTGTAACTTGTGTGTTTTTAACGTATATTTGTGTGTGAATGAGAACTTAGTTTAGTACTCACATGCTGTGACAGCCGCTTTCTGTCCGTGTGCTTCGGATGTGTGCGCTCAGAAAACCGTATATCAGAAGTTTAAACTAATATGGTTTAAAACGCATGATTTCAGCACGATAAACATGATAATCAGAACCAAAACACATGTTTTTAGCAGGTCCCGAGCTGTAATGGCGCAGCTCTATTCTGGAAAAGGGGGCGGTGAGCAGCAGCTCATTTGCATTTAAAGACACAGGCCCGAAAAACAGCGTGTTTCTGCTTCCACTCAAAATAGGCATTTTCAAAATTATATAATAAATGATCTGTGGAGTATTTTGAGCTGAAATTTCACAGACACATTCTGGGGACACCAGAGACTTATATTACATATTGTAAAAAGGGGCATAATATGTCACCTTTAAATAAACAGTGCTTTTCAGGTTTTTCAGGTAGATCTAAAAGAAATGTTCAGGTACAGAAATGTATATTATCAAATGCAAAATAACACTGCATAGTCTTCACTGTATAGATTAAATATATAATGCATTTATAATTATAATATACATTAAGCAACACTAAAAGTTTAATTGTTGCGAGTACACTAGTATTCCAGTGTTTTCTGTCACCTGTGCTCTTTTCTCTCTCAGCTCCTGCTGCTGTAATCGTCTCTTCTCCCGCTTCTCTTGAAGTTTCTCCACTTCCTTCACGCAGTTGGACTTCCTGCGAGCTGCAGACACACACACACAAAACTCTGACACTGGAAACAGACTCAATATTTTACAAACACTTACATTTATCATTAAGAATACTGATCAGTTAAACCTGATTCCCTCACTGTAACAGGCATTTTGTGTTTCATAATTCTAAAGTCAGTGTGAATTAGTAGGTGTTTAACGTGTCTGAGTGATTCCCTCAACAATGGCAACATGAGGGCTCATCTCTGGAAAACAAATCTAAATGCTGCTTTTGTTCTGATGTGACGAAGACAACGGCCGCTGTGTGACGCGCTGAGAGCCCTTCAGTTTCTCCTCTTCAGATATCACACACTCTCAACATCATTACAGCACACACACACACACACACACATGCTGTGTGTCAATAATTACACTACTGTTCAAAGGTTTGGGGTCAGTACGATTATATATATATATTTTTAAAGTCTCTTCTGTTCACTAAGGCTGCATTTATTAGATCAAAAATGCCGTAAAAACAGTAAAATTGTGAAATATTATTAGAATTTAAAATAACTGTTTTCTAATTTAATATATTGTAGAATGTAATTTATTCCTGTGATGCAAAGCTGAATTTTCAGCATCATTATTCCAGTCTTCAGTGTCACATGATCCTTCAGAAATCATTCTAATATGCTGATTTGTGCTCAACAAACATTTCTGATTATTATCAATGCTGAAAACAGTTGTGCTGCTTCATATTTTTGTGGAAAACAACATTCTTTCATATTCCTCCTGACTGCAAACTTTATAATGGTATTGCATGCGTTAGTGAGGTGTTGTACCGTTCTGCTGCAGTAGGGTCTGGTGTTGGATGGATGGAGGCGGGATGGGTGCTGATGGAGGTGGTTCGGTCTGTTGGCTCGGCCGCGCTCGAGTCGTACCTACAGTGACTGAATAATGGAGATCACATCACTGACCATAAAAAAAGATTGACAGGTCAAACGCTACAGCTATCAGACAAACATGTAAACAGACAAGCTTTTTTTGTCTATTATGTTAAAATAATAGCAAGTTATCAACATTCTGAAATAACACAAATGGAAATATGGGAATGTTGTTCAAAATTTGACAAATGTCAATGTTTTGAAGCAGGAAAAGGTGTGCTTGTTAATGCTTTTCCGTTATTATATTATGACTCTATCAACAACTTGAGCCCCTTAAGAAAAAAACTTAAAGGCAATTTTTATCTTTGTCTATGAAAATGTTTTCGTTAATTGAAAAGGCTGAAATAAAATATAAATAGTAGATGAAAAACTAAACAAAAATTAGAAATCTTGCCTTGGCAACTAACTGAAATAAAATAAACTTAAGTACTAAAATTACTAAAACTGAAAGAAAAATAAAGCTAAATAGAAATATACAAAAAAATATATATTAAAAAAAGTTCAATTGAAATTGAAAATACAAAAATAATAGCTAATTCAAAAGATTAATAAGTATTACAATATATAAATAATAGGGGTGTGACGAGACACTTATCCCACGAGACGAGACGAGGCTGGGTTCACGAGAACGAGACAAGATTTTTAGACTTTTTAAAGAAATCCTCAATGATGAAATATATAGGGAAAAATAGTCTTTTATTCAACTGAAAAACACGAAATGAAAAAAATGTAGGTGCATTTTGAAATCAACTTGTACTTTATGAAATTAAACTTCTATTTTAATGAATTATATGCAGCAATAAACCACATGTAAACTAGAGCTGCACGATTCTGGATAAATTGAGAATCATGTTTTTTTTATATATAAATTGGAGATCACGATTCTCTCACGATTCTGAAGAAAAAAAGATTAGAAAACTAAACAAAATAACAATTTACTAGTGGTTCTGACAAAATGTTCATTGCTTAAGTCTTTTTAAAAAAATATTAATTTAAACAAAATAAAAAATAAAAAATTAAATGAAGGAGTCAGTGTCTCAATTCATAAAGACCTGTTTCACAATTGGAATCTCCTGAATGAATGATTCAATGACAAATACTTTTTTTAAACGGGCAGTTGTCGCCACCTCCTGGAGGAAGAGTATAAGCGTTACAATACATACGAGTGTTAAAGGGGTCATATGATGGTAGTTTCGCTTTCACAACGAATCACACAGTGCCTTCACGACATGGCGGCAGCCACAATACTACAGCAAGAATAAAAGTTACGCCTTTTTTCTTTGCGTGAACATTTGGCGGCGTTATGCAAATCTTCCCACATCCTGACGTAGACATGTGGGGGCGTGTTAGAACGAGCCGTTTTAGGTAGGTGTGGCTGATCTCTTTGGATTTGAGACTTTAGTCTTTGCAACTTTACAGATCTTCTTTATGCACCAAGAGCTTGTAACAAGAAAAGAAAAAAGGAAAATCTTTATGATATTTTCGTTTGGTTCGCTACTGTAGAGAATAAGTGTTTATACCCAAACTATAAACTTTTATCCCAGAACTTATGTTATTTAAAAGTCTGTAACAGAAATAATAATGTGTGGCTGAAAAGATTGTTTGTGTTGCTCTTTTTGGATCAGCAGCAGCATGAATGATTCATTAACATGGGCAGCGACAAAACATGCTTCTCGCTCCACTGACGCTCGCGATCTAATAGACATAGCTGAATCGTTGTCATTCAGGAATAAGATTGCGTGGGTGTTTGAATCGAGATCGCGATCTTTAAAAAATTAATCGTGCAGCTCTAATGTAGATCTCATGCCACGAGATCTCGTCACATCCCTAATAACTAATACTAAAATAACACTAATTTCAAGCTTTCAGATCAAAATATTTTAAAATCCTGAGCAAGCTGAAATGACTATAAGACTAAAATAACAGTCATTATTTTATTTTTTTTGCATGACATCATACCTCGGTTATCCCTTGCAGGCGTTTCATTTTTCGGTGGCGCTACTGTTCGACGATTCTAGAAATGATGAATCCAAGAAAATAAACATGTTTCATATAATCCAATTTGCACCATCTTTTCATTTAGCTACAATATACATCTAAACATTCACAGTGAATTCATGCCACATTACCGCCTACTAGTTGCTACATGTATACAGTAATTTACCATGGTAGTTTTACAATCCATTAAATGGAAAAAAATTTAAACTATTATAATTTAATAGTACAACTCATTCATATTTTTGTAGTATATTTTTATAGATAGATAGATACACACACACACGCAAGGGCTTATGGGTAACGTAGGATGCCACAATGCAAGGTATTTTAGTGTTTTTTTATGTTTACGACTAGTAATTACCCAGCCAGTATTGATTTGACCGTAAAAACTGGAAACAGTTTTTTATGACTTTATGACTCCTGTCTAGAAATCCATCTGAGAAGTTATAAAAACCATATTGAGTGCGCTACAATCATCTGTCTGTCTGCTGCTGTGCTCATTCCTCCTCTTGGTTACGACTATTATGGTGTAGTGAAACGGACACAGACCTTGTTTTGAGGGATCTTGTTGATTTTGATGGCACTGGACACGGGTGGTGGAGGGGTGTCAGGACTTTGTGGGATTTCCTCTTCAGGTGCAATGTCTGGATTTAGTGCAAATATGCTCTCCAGATCGATCTGTTCACGGAGAATGAGAGCACGAGCATCAGGCTGCCAGTTTTTAAAAGCACTTCTACTCACGGCACACAGGATTTTCCACAGTTGTAAAAGCTGCTAAAAATAATCATCCCACAGGACACAAAACAAGATCTCAGTATCTCAGCTGTTTCTCCAGCAATGAGATACAATAGAGACTCCTATGAAGATCAGAAAGTGCGCTCAGATTTGCCTCAGAGATCTCAATATGAACTCAAATATTTCTCATCAAACTCTTTCAGGATCAAATGATCTGAGCTGCAATCCATATTCATGTTATACCACTATTTCTCATGAGGACTGGTTGGAGAAACATCTGAGATTAAGTTGATATTTAGCTGTGAAAGAGCAACATGTGAGCAATAAAACCTTTGTCTAGGTTTTTATATTTCATACACACATTAATGCACAGCATTTAATAACTAAAGACTGCTGATAAACCCGGAAGCTATTTAAGGCAGAGGTACAAAAGCTGCTTTAGAATAAATCTCCCTTGATTCTGACACATAAGTGTTGTATCTGTGTGTCTCTATTACAGATGTACAACTACAAAGACAAACAACCATGAATGAAACATATAAGCTTTTGTCTTTAGTGCATTATGATGGACATACTGAATATGATTATCAGACATTCACCTCTTTCCCTTTTGTGTCTCCGTTTTCAATCCACTCCACCGTCACGCACTCGTTGTCTTCGTTCAGTGATGTCACCATGGCCTGGTGGATTCTTCCTGGAATACATAATAAAACAACAGTTTACTGCAGAAATCTGCAGCTCTATGAGAGCACTTTTAGTCTTTGCAACTTCAGGGATCTTATCTATGCACAATCAGCTTGTAACACTCCAAAGAGAAAGGAAAACTTGAAATCGCATCATATGACCCCTTTAATAAAGCCCCAAAAAAAGGAGCTAAATGGGTCCATAATCCATAATAACACGTCCTCCAGTGAAATAGTTCATCACATCAAAATCCACCCACATATTTGTTGAGCACTGTTTCGGCTTACAAACAGTGTTTAATCTGTGCATATTTCTCTCCTGATTCAGATGAGATGACTTTTTCTCTGAAAGTTTAAGTTAAAAACATCTTGATGGATTTATTTCTTACAAACTTGCAGATTTTTTGTTTCACAAGACATGAATTGATGGACTGGAGTGGTGTGGATTATTGTGATGTTTTTATCAGCTGTTTGAACTCATTCTTAGGGAACTCATTCACTGCAGAGAATCCATTGGTGAGCAAGTAAAGAAACAAACTCATCTACATTTCAGATGGCCTGAGGGTGTGTAAATTGTGTTTTAGCAAATTTTCATTTTTTGGTGAATTATTCCTTTAAATGTGTGCTCAGGTCTCGAACCTGCAACCTTCTACTTACAGACCCTATGCCTGCATAACTACACCCGCATTGCATTAAAAATAGGCTATTATGTATAATGTGTATTATTTTGTTTTTATTTATAATTAACACGGTTGAGTTATTAGCTTACTAACTATTGTACTACAGTTTCAAATGAATTATTTGTCTTGTCTGTAATATACATGGCAGAAAAATGAAATTTGGCTTAACTTTAGACTTCAGGCAAATTCCTGAAATGACAACAAACTAAACTAAAACACAAAGTTCAACTAAAACAGCAGTACAAACGAGTTTTGCAGGCGATGTCTCTGGGCGTCTTCCTCGAGGATGATGCTAACAGACTGCGAATTTATTAATGTACTATGGCGAAGGTTTGGCTTATGAATATTAATTAGGTTCCGTGACGTTTCCGCATTACGCTTCTCTGATTGGCTGAAATCCTCACATCGCAGGCGATGTCTCTGGGCGTCTTCCTCGAGGATGATGCTAACAGACTGCGAATTTATTAATGTACTATGGCGAAGGTTTGGCTTATGAATATTAATTAGGTTCCGTGACGTTTCCGCATTACGCTTCTCTGATTGGCTGAAATCCTCCCATCAGCGATTAACGTTCTGGTGACGTATTGGCTCACGACTATCAATTTGATTCCGCGCCTAGACGCTCGAACGCGGTTACCAAGCAACGTCAGGAGGACTTCATTAATATTTAATGAGTCAAACCTCTGCCATAGTAGCATTCGTAAATTCGCTAACGGGTTAGCAGGAGCATGCATCCCAAAAACAGCCAATACAACGGCGTGCCAAGGACGGAAGGGTATTGTATGTTTATGCACAGGCCTATATCGAGCCTCTCCCGTCGTTTGCACCAGATGTCTTGCGTTAAACGGGTTTACCGGGTTAAACAAAGATGATGCACCGACAAACTGCATCTCAGCCTGATAAACGAGCTGCTGCTGGGTGTGACTCACCATCACTGCGCTTGATCTCCACATAAATGCCGATCTGGATCTTCCCGAAGAGAGCTGCCATGCCTCATGTGTGTGCCTGGATCTGTATGGAGGATTTTGAGCGGCTTTCACGGGAGAAGTTGATCAGCGGCTGCGGCGCAGTAGAAACCGGGAGGAGGTCAGGAGGGAGAGAAGGATGAGCGCGCATGCGCAGAGCGCTCACACACCCATCACAGAATGTCACATCAGCCTCTTTTGTCTAGTTGCATTGGACGCAATCTGTCCAACAGTTTTGTTTTTCTCCAATATGTTGATTATTTTTCTTTTTTCTTGAGCAAGATTGCTTTTAATTATATTTTTTAATTAATAAAAATACAATGAAACAAGATGTCAAAAAAGTGTAATATATATATATATATATATATGCTTTCTTCCTAATAAACTATATTTATATCGTATATTCAATCTATTATCTTGACATAAAATATGTTGAATTGCTTCCATTTAAACTGTAAATAAAATTAAATTAAAATATTTCATTCCTAAGAAACCGGGAGGAGGTCAGGAGGGAGAGAAGGATGAGCGCGCATGCGCAGAGCGCTCACACACCCATCACAGAATGTCACATCAGCCTCTTTTGTCTAGTCGCAATCTGTCCAACAGTTTTGTTTTTCTCCAATATGTTGATTATTTTTCTTTTTTCTTGAGCAAGATTGCTTTTAATTAAAATTATTTTTTAATAAAAATACAATGAAACAAGATGTCAAAAAAGTGTAATATATATATATATATATATATGCTTTCTTTCTAATAAACTATATTTATATCGTATATTCAATCTATTATCTTGACATAAAATATGTTGAATTGCTTCCATTTAAACTGTAAATAAAATTAAATTAAAATATTTCATTCCTAAGGATGTAACTTAAATCATATGAATTTTTTTCAGAAATACACACGATGGCAGCAAAGGGCTGGTTTGCGTGAAATGCGCTGAAAGAAACAACCTCAGTGGGAAATAAAACAGTTTAATTATGAGGAAACCTCATTGTTCAGTGATTTATTGTTTTACATAACTTTTAAAACTTAAGTAAACTACTTTTGTGTGAGCAATAATCTATAAAATAAACATTTATGCATTCAGTAACTACAAATATACACTGCTGTTCAGATGTTTTGGGTCAGTAAGATTTGTTAAAGCAGAAATTAAAAATTTGATCCAGAAAGGATGCATCAGAAGTGAGAGAAAATACATTTATAATGCTACAAACGTTTTCTATTTCAGATAAATGCTGTTCTTTACCGTTATGTTAATCAATAAATACTGAAAAAAATGGTTTCATGTTTTTTTTTCTTTTAACATTGATAAGTACGGTGGCCGAGAAGTGCGAAGCAAATCACAATTCTGAAAACAAAATAACAAATTACAAACGCAAATGCAAGTCTAAAAATCAAAATAACAATTCAGAAAGCACAACAACAATTCAGAAAACATTATAACAAGTCCGAAAACACATTGACAAATTCGAAAACAAAATAACAAGTCAGAAAACACAACGACAAATCAGACAAACCGGAAAAGGTAGGTATAGTTTGAGACAACGCCATTGGTTTGGGATTACTCACCGCTGACTGGACGAGACATCTGTCAATCAACGTATACAGGAAGAACCAGCCGAAGAACAGCAGAGTCGTGCTAGAAAGTTCAGAGATGGTATTAAAGTAGCTCAGTTTAAATGTATTGTATGAATTGCCCTCACTCTGGAATAAAAAATACGGGGTGTCTATTTACATTTAGTTAAAAGTGACTATAAAACATCAGCTCCAGTGGCGCAGATGGATAAATGCGTGTTGTTGGCTTTTTGACGCGATCGACCCGGGTTCGATCCCACCTTTTGCCAAACTTAATTTTCCTCCCTTTTCAAATCTCGTATTAGCAATGGATTCTATTTACACTAAGTGAAAATAGCAGTATTTTTTAGCAATATGCTATTTACACTAAGTGAAAATACCTATTTACACTGTTATATCATTCAAGTACAGGTCTATTTTGTACTTGTACATTTTGTATAGTATTACACTTCAAATTATTAAATATATATATTTTTTAAAAGCTACACCCGACCCTTAATTGTCTTGTTTAACCCTTTTGGAAAATTAGTTATGTCACACTTTTACTTTACTGAGGCAGAAATCAAACAAGCACCTGAGAAACTCGCATTTAGTATTGGATTCAGTTTGAACACTAATGTGTTACAGCATGCAATGTTTGAAGTGAACACTAGACGCAGGTCTTTTGAATGAGAAAATGTGCTGTACGTGTGAGCTGGAAACATCTGTCAGACGCAGACCCTTCCTCACCTCCTTTTGCCTTGAACTGTGCTGTCATTCTTCTGTATGATGACAATCCATTGGTGGAGATGAATGAAGCGGGCCGCTCTCGCTGTCAGCTGAACGCACCTCTTCAGTCCCGGGTGGATTCGTCATCACTCTCTCATCATCTGTTTCCCCAGTAACAGTCAACCGGCCCTGCCACAGTCTCAGAGAACTGACTTTATACAGGAGCATATTGTTACCGAATGCAATGAAATGCATGCAATTTTAAGACCTTCTTATCTGTAACACACATGCAATCTTATTTATCTTTAGATCTGACAAATGTTTTCAATTAGGCAACAGTTTAAAAGCAAACTGGCGTTCATCTCATTGGTCACTAAAGTCAGTGGTTCATAAAGAAGCAAACAAATGAAGTCAGATTTCTGCTCCAAGTCATGGCAGGTTTCCCGGGTTTAATTAATGTCACGCAACCTCAGACTCAAGTGTGGAAGTCGCAGTGGAAATCAGGGGAAAGAGAGAGAATAAACCCAAAAGAGAGGTTTCATGAATAATGGGAGACGGCAGACGCGCGGCCCTTACTCCTGTGCACTGGAGCTGCAAAACACCCCAGAGATTCACCACACAACTTTGCCCTGCTCTCTTTGTTTGCAGTGGCATCATAACTAATATGTTTTTGGCCCTTTCATACATAATCATACCGACTGTCTGTTTGAGGTCGGACCTGATTAAAAATCCAACATGGAATGGAATAACAAGACTGTTCACTGTCATATATCTGAAACTAGAACTAGTTCAGAAAACTCACTGACCAAAGAATGACATATATATTTCCAAAAGGGATATAAATGTCTTTTAACCTTTTTTTTTTTTTTTACTTTTTGGAGATTACAGGGGAAAAAATTATTTTGACTCCCATAATTAGTAAAGTATTATATTATATTATATTATAAATGTTTTACAGTTGCATTGTAAGTTTTACTTTTTTGGGCCTCTTGGAGATTAAAGGAATAAATGTATTAATTTTGACTCATCCCTTAATCAGTAATAAAAAACTAAATTAATATATAATATAATATAATATAATATATAATATTTGTACAGTCGCTTTGCAAGTTATTTTTTTTGGCCTCTTAGAGATTAAAGGGGGAAAAAATCTTGCATTTATTGAAACATACAGTATTATATTATATAATATTATATATTATATTAGTTTGTACAATTGCTTTGTCATTTTTACTTTTTTTGGGTCTCTTGGAGATTAGAAGAAATAAATAGATTTTGACTCATCCCTCGATAACTAAAAAAAGGTTTGTAAAAATAAATTTTTATTCCTTTAATTTCCATGAGGCTACAAAAAAAAAAGAAAAACTTACAACACAACTGTACAAAATTTTTATATAATATAATATAATATAAATTTGTACAGTTGCTTTGTAAGTTCATTTTTGACCAACTAGATATTTAAATCAATATCATTTGGACTCATACCTTAGTTAGTTAAAAAATTAAATTATATAAAAAATAAAATAAATATAAAATTATATAACATAATATGTTTTTATGTTATATAACGCATTCGCCTCTTTCGTAAACACTACTTGCGCCAAAAGCTGGGCGGGACTTAACAGGCAGCGATGTAGCAGCAGGCGTTGATCTGCAGAGGCGGTGCTTATCCACACTATTACATCATAGAGTGGCACATTCCACTAGCTGTCGTTTCGGCAGACTGACTTCAATATAAGCTGTTTTTAGACTAACAAGAAAGTTTTCAGTTCTGAAACTTACAAGATGTTTTTATAGTACAGTGACCTCTTATATGCCAAAAGATTAAGGGAATTTTGGTTTCTCAGTTCATGACCCCTTTAAAAATAGCATTTATTTTATTTATGTTTAATGTTATTTGAGACAAAATGAAGAATGAATCAAATGAATTTTTTTGTGGCAGTCAAAAACTCAACTGTTGAACCCATGACCTTCCTTCAATGGTTGTAGCTAGTATATAGAGTACCTGACTTATAAACTAACCATATGGCACTCTGCTGTGATCATGTGATATAGTTAAACTCCCTCTTACAAAATATCATATTTCCTTAATGTTGCTGTGTCTGTTTTCGCTTTGTTCTGCGATGACAAAGAAATTCCTCATCTAAGCCCTTTACACAGCCCGTCTGAACCAAAGAAATGAATGTGTCACGCTAGAATTGCCATCATTCTTCTGCAATAAAAGAGGCTGGTGTCAGATATTGGCTTTTGTAAAGACCTAGACGGTGTGTGTAATTTGACTAATGGCTTCTTCCCGGTCAGAATCTGCATCTTTTGCTCCTGTCGGCTCTACGTGATGAATACAATTAAACATCCCTCTGAAAAATCACAGCAAAATGTCACGGCCAATATCGTTATTTCATTGTGTTCCCTCTGATCAGGGTGTCTAGGGTGCGGGATGGTTTCTGTTTAGATGATTGAGGCAGTGGAGAGGAAAACAACACGCATCCCATGATGCATCGGTCTCTGAATGGAGCGTATTTACTTTCTTTCCACTCATTTTTCTTTTACACAGCAGGAGATGAATTACCCTGGGAATGGATTTGGATGCGGCGCTCCCTCATTCCGAGTCTTTTTCTTCTCCCGTGTGGAGATTTGACAGACGACACGCGGGCTGATCTCGGGACCCACAGCGAGGTGAAGGGCGACTGAAAGACTTCCTCCAGAGACTCTGAAGCGCAGAATGAGATTGTGTGCTGCAGAAAAACAACGTATTTGTTTGTTGTGTGTTCGTGCTTTCTCACCCCTGCTACCGGTGTGAGATTACAAAGGCCTCACGCACGGAAAGAGAGCAAAGGACATCACGGCAAACATTTGAAATCTAATATAAAACAGCAA